TATCTATATCTAAATGTTAAATCTAAATGTTAAATCTAAATGTTAAATCTAAATGTTAAATCTAAATGTTATATCTATATCTAAATGTTATATCTATATCTAAATGTTATATCTATATCTAAATGTTATATCTAAATGTTATATCTAAATGTTAAATCTAAATGTTAAATCTAAATGTTAAATCTAAATGTTAAATCTAAATGTTAAATCTAAATGTTAAATCTAAATGTTAAATCTAAATGTGTCGCCAAGTGTAAAGCTAAATATATAGAAACCACGCCCACTGCAGTGGCTTCAAATCCAGTGGGCCCGCCTTCCGTGCCGTGTGGTGAGTGGGGGCGGTGCCGCGTGTTTTGAACATAGGAATACACGTGGACCGACGTCACGGCTCAAGGCATGTTGGGTCTCCGGCGCCATCGTCCTTGGCCACGGCACAAAATTAGCATTTTTGTGAAGATTCTTGCTTATTTGCTGGAGCCAGAGTGTATTCACTGTAAACTAAGCCACGTGGAGTCCCGTGAGATTCCTGTGTAATCCTGTAGGGTTCTCACCACACGGCACGGAAGGCGGGCCCACTGGATTTGAAGCCACTGCAGTGGGCGTGGTTTCTATATATTTAGCTTTACACTTGGCGACACATTTAGATTTAACATTTAGATTTAACATTTAGATTTAACATTTAGATTTAACATTTAGATATAGATATAATATTTAGATATAACATTTAACATTTAGATATAGATATAATATTTAGATATAGATATAACATTTAGATATAGATATAACATTTAGATATAGATTTAAAATTTAGTGATTTAGATATAGATATAACATTTTCCATAGTGCAAATAATGTAATGTATTTACAGTATTACATTGTTACAAAAAATGGTATTTCACAAAATATGTATTTACAGTATTACATTGAAAATGGTATTTCACAATATGTATATTAATCTGTATGTTAGCTTTGTTTTAAGGCTCATTACAGAGAAAACACAAAGGTAAAGTAGGTAGATAGAAAAAAGCACTTTAACACAGCACCTCAGCTTAACCATCTTCAGTGTGGTCAGGTCCATGGTTATGTTATTATCACATTAACCTTCTTCAGTGTGGTCAGGTCCATGGTTATGTTATTGTCACATTAACCATCTTCAGTGTGGTAAGGTCCATGGTTATGTTATTATCACATTAACCATCTTCAGTGTGGTCAGGTCCATGGTTATGTTATTATCACATTAACCTTCTTCAGTGTGGTCAGGTCCATGGTTATGTTATTATCAGCTTAACCATCTTCAGTGTGGTAAGGTCCATGGTTATGTTATTATCACATTAACCTTCTTCAGTGTGTAAGGTCCATGGTTATGTTATTATCAGCTTAACCATCTTCAGTGTGGTAAGGTCCATGGTTATGTTATTATCACATTAACCTTCTTCAGTGTGGTCAGGTCCATGGTTATGTTATTATCACATTAACCATCTTCAGTGTGGTCAGGTCCATGGTTATGTTATTATCACATTAACCATCTTCAGTGTGGTCAGGTCCATGGTTATGTTATTATCACATTAACCTTCTTCAGTGTGGTCAGGTCCATGGTTATGTTATTATCACATTAACCATCTTCAGTGTGGTAAGGTCCATGGTTATGTTATTATCACATTAACCATCTTCAGTGTGTAAGGTCCATGGTTATGTTATTATCACATTAACCTTCTTCAGTGTGGTAAGGTCCATGGTTATGTTATTATCACATTAACCTTCTTCAGTGTGGTCAGGTCCATGGTTATGTTATTATCACATTAACCATCTTCAGTGTGGTAAGGTCCATGGTTATGTTATTATCACATTAACCTTCTTCAGTGTGGTCAGGTCCATGGTTATGTTATTATCACATTAACCATCTTCAGTGTGGTACGGTCCATGGTTATGTTATTATCACATTAACCATCTTCAGTGTGGTAAGGTCCATGGTTATGTTATTATCACATTAACCATCTTCAGTGTGTAAGGTCCATGGTTATGTTATTATCACATTAACCTTCTTCAGTGTGGTAAGGTCCATGGTTATGTTATTATCACATTAACCTTCTTCAGTGTGGTCAGGTCCATGGTTATGTTATTATCACATTAACCATCTTCAGTGTGGTACGGTCCATGGTTATGTTATTATCACATTAACCATCTTCAGTGTGGTACGGTCCATGGTTATGTTATTATCACATTAACCATCTTCAGTGTGGTAAGGTCCATGGTTATGTTATTATCACATTAACCATCTTCAGTGTGGTCAGGTCCATGGTTATGTTATTATCACATTAACCTTCTTCAGTGTGGTCAGGTCCATGGTTATGTTATTATCACATTAACCATCTTCAGTGTGGTCAGGTCCATGGTTATGTTATTATCACATTAACCATCTTCAGTGTGGTCAGGTCCATGGTTATGTTATTATCACATTAACCATCTTCAGTGTGTAAGGTCCATGGTTATGTTATTATCACAGAGAAAGCATCAAACTGACCATGATTCATTTGAAATGAATAAAACAACTTCCATAACGTGATCCATAACGACTGCAGCAGTGTCTCTGTGTAAAATACAGTCAAATGTCCAAAAATCATCACCTCCATTTGCAGCTGTTTGTACCATCGGTACCCGTCCACACTGTCCAACACACCAGCAACAACAGCAGAACCAGCAGCAGCAGCGCTCAAAACTCCTCTGATAGTTTCAGTAACACCACAAATTAATATGTGACATCAGTAACATCAGTCTCTTATCAATGGCAACATGTTGGTAAAAGCGAGTGGTTTCTCAGACCATGTCTGCAGCCTGTGAGAGTTTAACAAACTCTCTCTCACTGTGCGGCTGCGATGCTAATGCTAATGTTGTTAGCACAGGTAGCTTCCCTTTACAGCAGCAGAACTAACCTCGCTCTGGGCACAAACAGACTGCTGTGTCTTCAGGGCCAGACATGTTTATCTTCTGTTTTCTCAATTCTCCGCTCAAAGTGCCGTATTTTTCGCCGAGTCTTGTAGTTTAAGATAAGTTATTCCTCCAGCACCGCTCTGGTGGAGCCACTACAGACTCACTGGACTCACCCCTGAGCGCGGCGCTGCGGCGTCGCGTCGCGGAGCCTCGCGTCGCGGAGCGGCTTTTCAAAATGTATTATTATTATATTTTTACATAAATGAGCCGCGGGCCGTGTCAAATCTCTTGGCGGGCCGGTTCCGGCCCGCGGGCCGTATGAATGACACCCCTGATTTAGATATAGATATAATATTTAGATATAACATTTAACATTTAGATATAGATATAATATTTAGATATAGATATGTCTTAAATGTGAGGAAAATGTGCTAAATGTGAGGAAAGTGAGCTAAATGTAGAAAAATGTCCAGCTAAAACATTTTAACAGAATTTTTACAATCGGCACCCCATACAAAAACGTGTCTCCCAGACCCCAGCGCGCTTTCTGTTCGATAAAAATGGGTGACTCCGAAAGGATGTTCCGCTGTTACCGTAAGTTCTCGCACCGTCTTTTCCCCGATGCGGGCCGCTTGTTCATAGAGCTGAAAGATGCGGGCCACTTTACCGCGGTGCCGCTGGTAGAGGACCCGAGCTTAGAGAGAAAGGGATTTTTTTTAAAATATATATATATCTTGCCGACTTCCATGCTGACCTGTCGTAAAACCAGGGCGTGAAACAAGCGGTTTCTGAATATTTTTAGGCATGACTTTCTTTTATAAGCTAGTTTTCACCGTGGCATTTACTAACAGCCGCGTATTTGTACCATGGATGTATTCGTACGCTCAAATCCGGGAGGATCTCACATGTTCATAAATCCCACGTCGGGTCTAGCGTATATGGAATCTACACCAAAAATATACACCCTTTTCTGCTCAAGTTTCATAAATGAGGGCCACTATCACTATTTAAGCACCAGGACCACAGAGAGCGCTAAATCACAGGTTCAAAAAATGGAGCTAGAGGAGTTTACTTTTACATGTAAGTCAATAGGGGCCAGAGCCAGTTGGAGCCAAACTGCACCATGAGCACTTCCCTATAGCAAACTACTGACACACCCCCGTCGCCTGTCAACTCCCGCCCACATGTTTCGAACAAACACTGCTGAAATGAATCATATACCAATTGTCACTTTAGACGAAAATAATATACCAGGAGCAAAATTCCACCCTCAAACCATCAGGGATCATAGTGTTGCCCAATTAAAACGTTGGCTTGAAAGTCATGGTCAACCAGTAACTGGTAGAAAGTTTGAATCAATAAAAGGCTAATGGTGAGGATTATGCTAACATTATCTTGTCATTTAAATCGCAATGCTAGCGCCTTCTTTGTTTATTTTGCTGTGATTAACTTTCATTTATCAAGTTTTTATTTGCACTGTTTTTATCTTTGTAATTAGTTTGATCATCTAGTTAGCTACAGTCAGCCGATATTATAATAGATCCATCGGGTCACAACGAGCTACGTCACTACTACTGTCTCTACAGAGAGAAGTTATTGGAGCTAGCCACACTCAATAAACACAAATGACAATCAATCAACACTTTTAAATGTTAATCGGAAAATACATTATACATGTAAGAGTGATATTATTTTGATGAGTTATTGTTGTTAGTTTGGAGCAGTGCAGTGATTGGGTAAAATGGGTCATGTGACGTAAGACAGGAAGGGGGAGTTGAAAATGTATATAATAAAACTGACTGCTGGCTTAAAAGAATCCTGCTCCATCCTGCTGTTCTATTACCTTGAGAGTCATCCTTCTATCGCCACGAACTTACACGTTACATTTGGTGGGAGCGGTGTTGGTTATTTTGGTGATTTGGACGTCCAATGAGTTTTGAGCCCCGGTTGTTGTCTCTGTGAACGGCTAGCTGCTAAAGTGCGGTTTTGGAGCTACTACGGATTTTTGCTACGGCTCTTTTTGTCATATATAATTTTTTTTTGCGTGTAGTTGGTAAAGTGCCCTTATCACCATGGATGACAACGTTACAGTGCATGAACTGCAGTCGTCGCCTCCTCGAGGGCTCCCTGTACGGCTGTCGGGGGTGCTGAGTGACTCCACGTTGTCGGTGCGAGGCGCGGTCTCAGGAGCGCTGAAGATAGACCTCCCGCTGCCATTCAAAGGTGATGACACTCTGAGGCTCGTCGCTTTGAGGTTGCCGTTGAAGCTATGAGTTCACCGGATATGGACTATTCTGCTATGAGATCTGCTATTCTACCTACTAGACTTTCTGATGCTGCATTTTTACTCTGGGACAGTTTACCCTCAGCAACAAAGAAGGATTATGACACGGTCAAGGTGAAGCTGGGTGTTGTTTTTGGCCCAAAGTACTCCCTGCCCTTTTTCCAAACTCATGTAAATGCTCGTCCTCGTCAGCCCGGGGAGAGCTTGGATGTTTACAGTGCAGATATAACCCGATTGGTGTTGGAGGCTTTTCCGAGGTATGACCACAATGCCATAGAGGGGGAGAAATTTTGTCGTTTTGTGGCTGGTTTGGACCCGTCACTTCAGGCCAAAATACATGAGCAGGGAGCAGAGGACATTGAAGAGGCCCTGCGTGTAGAGAGACGCTGTGAGAGGGCACGTGTGGCTCTTCAGTTAAACTCCACTGATCACGCGTGCAGGGTCACGTCTGCTGACCAGGTGGCAATGGTCAGGCCCAGACCCTCGGAGGATAAGCTCCTTCAAGCAGTAGAACAGCTAACACTCACTGTTGATAGTCTCAGACAGGAAGTTCACCAGTCACATGAGAAACATGGTCTTCTTGCGGACCGTTTCAGACAGAGGGGCTACTACTCCCCTGAGCGTTATGGCAGAGATAGTTCCCGGAGATCCAGTCCTAGCCCCAATGCACACCAGAGATACAGCGAGCAGGACACTGACTGGAAAGGCCACTATCCCTCCTCCCCCAGATCAGGGACCTATGCTAGATATGAGCGTACGGATTATCCTCGCAGTCCCGGCCCAGCGGCGAGGGGACGCAGGGATCCCAGACCACGTTCAAGACAAAGTGTGAGGTTTCAATCCCCTGAGCGACAAGCACCACTCTCGCAGCCGGGAAACTTCAATTAGCTGATGTTGAGGGGCAAACGCCAGCTACTACGTCCGCGCCCCAGAGCACAAAAGTGGTTTCATCCACAGTTCTTGCTATTGTGGAGGGCATTGAAGTGTGTGCTTTAATTGACTCAGGTTCATTTGTTTCCATTGTTAGTGAAGAGTTTCGTAATTCTCACCCAGCTTTGAGGAAGCGACCAATGACTGTCTCCACTGTCCCTGCTCGCTCTGTGAGTGGTCAGAGTCTGGACATTTTAGGCAAGTTAACGATAGGACTTAGGATGGGACACAAAGTTTGGCAACATGAGTTTGAAGTGCTCAGAGGGGCTTATCAGTGATCTTAGGCTGGGATTTTCTGGTGCAACACCGTGCCTTGCTGGACATTAAAAACAAAGTACTACAGCTTTGGGACATGACAATCCCACTGTTACCAAAACAACATGAAGTGACCGCATGCTGTAATTTGTCAGTCTTAGTACCCACTAAAATACCAGCTATGAGTGAAACATTAATTTCAGCTTGTGTATCTTCTGCTACTCCTGCCTCGCCAGTACCGACAGACTATTGTGGTGTAATAATGCCCAATGCAAACACTGATGTCATTGTGGCGCACACAGTTAGTACTGTCCGGCATGGCACCACTGTAGTTAGAGTGTTGAACACCTCTAGAGAGGATATTGAACTTCATCCAGGCCAACATCTGGGTGAATTTCATTCAGTTTCCTCTGTTGACATAGCACCACTTAATGAGGCGTCCTCATTGGCCAATGAGGATTTGTCACCATTAGAGCAGTTAACAAATACACACCTATCACACTTCCAGACCGCAGCATTAAATCATCTTTTAGTGAAGTATTCTGAGGTGTTCAGTTTGAATTCCCAGGATAGGGGCCGCACAGGGGTGATAAGGCACCACATTCGCACAGGTGACGCTATGCCTAGTAAACAAAGAGCATACAGAGTGACTCCTGACCAGAGGGCGGAGATACAAGCACAGGTCGATGAACTTCTGAAAGCTGACATTATTGAGGAGAGCTTTAGTTCATGGGCAGCGCCAGTTGTTTTAGTGCGTTAAAAAAATGGGACATGGTTGCTTTTGTTTGGACTATCGCAAACTAAATGCGGTGACAATAAAGGACTCACATCCACTTCCCAGAGTGGACGATGCATTGGACGCTCTATCAGGCTCTCCCTGGTTTTCAACAATGGACTTACAACATGGTTATTGGCAAGTGGAGCTGGAGGAACATGACCGCGAGAAGACAGCTTTCACAACAGGCAGCGGGCTCTATCATTTTAAAGTGATGCCCATGGGCCTCACCAATGCTCCTGCCACATGCCAACGCTTAAAGCCTAGCGTACATCGTACTGGCAACTGATTATATCCGTCGCATATGAGTTGCTGCCCCGCACACATCGACAATCTGACGAAAACGGGCAACTCCCAGTCGCAGACCAGTCTCGGGAATAACAGCGCGTACATCGACAGCAACTGGCCTCAACTACAGTGTGTTTTCTGACATAAACTGTTGCGGGCTCGCAATACACACAAGTTGTCGGAGCGGCGCATGGAGCGCGCACATCGGGTCATATCTCCGAAACTGAGGACAACTAGTTGCCGAAAAGTAGAACACGGGCAACTGACTGAAACTGGAGACCGACTGTTCATCTCCAGTTGTAAGAGCGCGCACATCGACCGATTTCGGCAACTGATCATCTCCCACCATCTCCTCTCAGTTGCCAAAAGCCGCCTTGCAACTAGTTGTCCGCAGTTTCTCTGTCGATGTACGCTAGGCTTAATGGAGATGGTGCTATGTGGACTCCCTTGGAAGATGTGTCTTGTTTATCTGGACGATGTTCTGATATTTAGTCGCACATTTAGTGAGCACCTCCAGCACTTGGAAGAGGTTTTCTCCAGGTTCAAGTCAAGTGGACTCAAATTGAATTCATCCAAATGCAGTTTTTCCCAGAAGCAGGTGAATTTTTTGGGCCACGTGGGATCAGGAGCGGGGGTACACCCAGACCCACGTAATGTGAGCAGTGTGCAAAGCTGGCCTATCCCACGGACTGCGACAGAGGTGAGGGCTTTTCTTGGTCTTTGTTCGTACTATCGCAAGTTTATAAAAAGTTTTGCACACCACAGTGCACCATTGAATGCCCTCACTGCAAAGAATTCTCCTTTTGCATGGACTACAGACTGCCAAGATGCCTTTGTCTATTTGAAGAGTGCTTTATCAAAGCCTCCAGTCATTGCGTTTCCTGACTTTTCATTGCCATTTGTCCTTTATACAGATGCATCATGCACTGCTGTGGGCGCCGTCCTGGGACAGAAACAAGAGCAGACTGAAAAAGTAGTGGCTTACGCCAGTCATGTCTTGACAAAAGCGGAGAAGAAGTGGTCCACATATGACCGAGAACTTTGGGCTATTGTGTGGGCAGTACGTCATTTCCGGCATTATCTTTACAAGCAGCCATTTGTTATTGGGACGGATCACAAACCACTATTGGGTCTCAGGAAAATCCCTATTGACAGTGACAGGACTGGGAGACGCGCACGTTGGGCTCTTGAACTTGACCCGTTTGAATGGACAGTGGTTTACAAAGAAGGCTACTGTCATTTGAATGCGGATGCTTTGTCGCGCCGCCCAAAGGACCCTCTAGCTGCAGAACCGGCTGTCACAGGTGCCTTCACTGATACAGACTTATCACATGTGAGTTCAGCAGTGGAGGCTCCGCCCCATTATTCGGACATACAAGGAGTTTCACAGACTGTTGCCTCCACCAGCATGCTGCAACTCCCGGCAGAGGAGCTCAAAACGGCTCAACAACAGGATCCAGTTTTGTCTGAGGTGATAAACTGGACAAGGAAGGGACACAAACCGCCTTATTGGTGTATGAAAAAGCGCACCCAGGTAGAAAAGGCTCTGTGGCATGAATTCAACAGGCTCTCATTTAATGAGGGACTTCTTTGTCGTAAGGTCTATAATACTGTGACAAAATCGGACATGCATCAAATTGTTGTTCCGCAGGCATGTCAGAACACAATTTTGGAATTGCTTCATGGTAATCCAGTAGCAGGTCACATGTCCCCAGACAAAGTGGTCAAACGTGCGCAGCAGTTTTGTTATTGGCCTTTTATGTTGCGGGATATAAAACAAATGTGTAACAAATGTGTTCCTTGTGATGCTCAGCCCTGTTTCTCAGCAGAGGGCTCCCATGAAAACCATTGTTGCCACAGAGCCATTTCAGAAAGTTGCTGCTGATATCCTTGAACTCCCTATTACTACTCGTGGCAACAGGTATGTGCTGGTGGTACAGGACTATTTTTCTAAATATGTCAACCTTTATGCAATATTAGACCAGCGAGCTGTCACAGTTGCCAAGTGTTTATTTGAAAACTATATATGTGAGCATGGCATTCCCCAAGTGTTGCATACCGACCAAAGCAGACAGTTTGAGTCAGATATAGTTAAAGACCTGTGTCAAATGATAGGCGTACAAAAAACACGCACGAGTGCTTACCATCCACAATGTGATGGCATGATTGAGAGGTTTAACAGGACTCTCATTGACCAATTGGCTAAGACTCTGCTACAACAGTCAGGTGAATGGGATGACTGTCTTAATCAAGTAGCATTAGCCTATAATACCACTCCCCACTCCACTACTGGCTTTACTCCATTTTTTCTTACACATGGTTTTGAAGCGAGGATGCCCGCCGATCTGTTACTTGACAACAGCGTGCCTCTTTCTGCACAAAACTCTCCTACAGAGTATGCAGAGAGGTTAACGCAGAAACTTGAAACCGCTTTCATCACTGCAGTGAACAATAGGAATGATGCTTCACACAAACAAAGTGCAGTATGATAAACGTGTTAAGCATGTTCCATATGTGCCTGGCGCCCTCGTGTGGTTAAATGATCCTACAAAGTCTAAGCAAAAACTGGCTCCTCACTGGAAAGGTCCATTTGTGGTTCAGGAGTGTCTAGGTGGTTTAGAAGAGCAGACGCAGGGTGTGACCTATAAGATTCGTTATTTGTTAGATGATTCGAGTCGCTCCCAAATTGTTCACTATAATCGGCTCAGATCTTACAGAGCTCCAGTTCCAGAAAGCAATGTCAGGGCCCCTGTTCCGACTGTACCTACACAGCCCGGCCTGCCTGCATTGAATGCTTTGTCTGGTGCTTTGCCTTATTCGTTCTCTCAGGGCATGGGTAAAAGTGACACGTGCAGAGATGTTACTCCGCCGGTAACTTTACCTGCGGCCTCGCCCCAGTCCGAGCCTCTGCTCCTTGTTCCTGCGGACTCCCAGGGTTCTCCCAATGTTCCTCCTGTGTGTGACGGTATGAGTACGTTTTCACGGCCCAGCCGGCGTACTGTTAGGCCACCTGCTTACCTCAGGGATTATGTTACTGAGTGATTTTGTGTTATATTTGATTTTTTTTAACCTGTTGTCTGAAACGGGGACGTTTCTTTTGTGGGAGGGGGAATAATGTAAGAGTGATATTATTTTGATGTGTTATCTTTGTTAGTTTGGAGCAGTGCAGTGATTGGGTAAAATGGGTCATGTGACGGTGACGTAGAGGAAGGGGGAGTTGAAAATGTATATATAATAAAACTGACTGCTGGCTTAAAAGAATCCTGCTCCATCCTGCTGTTCTATTACCTTGAGAGTCATCCTTCTATCACCACAAACTTACACGTTACATACATATACATTCTTAACACACGTGCACAGAGGTTTTTAGAATGATCTGTTAACGTTTTCATGACAAAAATACTGTATTAATGCGACAAAAAGGGATAGGAAGTAACCATTAACATTAATAGAACATTTTAGGACGCATTTGAAGAGGATCTGGTGAAGGATTTAGGTTGAGTTTATACATGGGTCACTCACCGCTGATGTTCAGAATTCTTTGTTCAGTTTTCATGTTGTTTGAGAGAGAAGTAGCTAGCTATCCTAACTGTTACACGCCCTGCCACGGCACAGGAAAACCTTTGGGAACTATTTTATTTGCAGTCATGAAATAAACCTTTCGGCATTCATAAAAGTGGACTGAAGTTTATTTTGTGTGTTCAGTTGGTACAAAGCCATTTCAGGCTCCGCTTCGGGCTCCGCTTCGGGCTCCGCTTCGGGCTCCGCTTCGGGCTCCGCTTCGGGCTCCGCTTCGGGCTCCGCTTCGGGCTCCGCTTCGGGCTCCGCTTCGGGCTCCGCTTCGGGCTCCGCTTCGGGCTCCGCTTCGGGCTCCGCTTCGGGCTCCTCTTCGGGCTCCGCTTCGGGCTCCGCTTCTCCCTGACTCTGTACCGATAATGACCTGCCTACTATATCCCTTACATAGTCACAAACTTGAAAAAAAGAAAACAAATTCTAATATGGATTGATGGGGGTAAATGGTATAAAGAGAAAGTTTGCGCTAACTACATTCAGAAGAGCTCAGATGGACCTGATACAGCGGTCCAGATCCTGTCCCAGATAAACGTAGCTGGGAATGGATCTGGATACTCCACAGTTGGTCCAGCTTCACCGACAAAGTGTTTTGAACAAATATATGAGTCCTTTTTGGCATATTCATGTGAGAAATTCTGCCGACCACAAGCACAAACTCGCCTTTTGCACTTGTCGATGTCATAGTGTGGTTTTACGAACGGGATGAATGTTACTGCTTTCATATAGTCCTTATCGGAGTATCTGAAATCGCTCCGACAAGGACCATAACTACAGTGTTTTGACGTCACCATGATTCAATGATAGCGCATGGGACTTCACGGGGACCGGGAGATTAGCTGAACTCGCCTATATTTGGGCATCGTCTGGTCCTCCCGGTTCTTCGCAGTGGATGAGCTCCCATGATGCGTTGAGGCGAATACGCGTGTGTGGCTGTCATGCACGCGCATGGAAGGGCTCGGCTGCACTCTGACCAATCAGAGCTGCTGATCAGAGCAGTGGTAGAGTGGGAATGAAAAGAGCAGAGTTTGTGGCAGTACAAGTGTGGATTTAAAGAAAACCAAAGGATGTAAGAATAAAAAAAGTTCAGGATGACAAGGGACACTAAAATACCCACAAAATACTATCTTTATGAAAGCTGTAGGTTTTCTGTCAGCTGAGGTCGAGCTGTTTTAATTTACTGTACATCGAGTTCTATGTGACTTTTTTCTGAGTAGCCCACATGATTTTAGTCTGCAGTACCACGGGCGCCCCCTGTGTCCTTGGGTGGGACAGCTATAAGCTAGTAATACCCTGTCCAGTTATTATTATCAGTCTCAGAATCAGAATCATTTTTGTTGCCACGTAAGTAACAGGAGGTCACAGACTTGGAAATTGCTTTGGCTCGGTGCAACAGTCAGAGAGAGAGAATAAAAAATAAAGAATAAAAACACTTCTAAGGAATACATTTAAAATAGATAGATCCATGGGTCATAGATAGATCCAGGGTCATTGGTCCGACCAAAGACTCGGACCAATGACCCTGGCCCCCATCTTTCCTTAGCGCCATGGCAAGAGCTCTGGTGTGTATACTATCTCGTGCTGCAGTTATTCCGATGTGATTTCAATGCAAATGAAAAATAAACTGAATCTGATTAAAAAACCAAAGACCAGGACCCTGGAAATCCCACGCAGACGGAGAAGGTGCTGCTGGGCGGTTGATTTCCCCCGCAGTTCATGTAGGGTTACCATGGAAATGTCACAGGTGTCATTGTGACCTGACCTGACCTGACCTGACCTGACCCAACCCAACCCTGTTGGTTTCCAAAAAAACCTAGTGTAATAATAAAATATAAAATACAGAAAGGGCAGACTCTGGTCCTGGTCTTCTCTCCCTGTGCCCCAGAGACCAATCCTTATATGGCTGTCCACTCCTCGCCCTCCCCCTCCCTATGTTCGAAGCGCCCTTCTCCTTCTCCCTCCTCCTTCACCGCACACTACATCTCCCGTCATGCTCTGCGCGGTGACTCCTCTTTCTTTAAAGACAAGTCGCGTGCGCTCCACGAAGGGCCGCTCCTGACGCGCGCGGGTTCTAACGGGATATAAAGTTTATAAAGTTAATTTCTGCAAGAAGCGAGGCTTGCGGATCCTTGAACAGACTGTGAGTAGAACATATGTGCATGCACGCGCATACGGGCACGCACTCACAGGACGCGCACGTTTCGCTCCTCTGTCGCTTCTGTTCCGCTCTTGCCGCTGCTGTGCCGCTCCAGCTGCTCCTGTGCACGTGTTTTTATCCCTTTTTTGATGTTTTTGATGACTGTCGCGTGATTAAAATGCGCTCATGAGTTTTCAGAGTAGTAAACAGCTGCGCGCCCCCTCCTCGCGCATGCGCATACGCCTTGGACCCTTATGAACTTTTTCCTTCGGCGTCAGCGGTAAAACGCGTGAGAAGTAAACAAGCAGGGAACCAGTTTGAGAACGCGAATTGTGACATCTCAAGGCACCTCTGTGGGTCATCTCAAGACGGGTTACAGGAACCTTGCTCTGTGATGCAAAACTGGAAGTTACAACATGTGGGAAATAGTGGAACATGAGAAAAGTAGAGTTTGACCTGAGTCTGGATAACACTGTTCAATGTACAACTTATGTCAATAATCCACAGACCAGACCCAGGACCGCGACCCATGGTCCCTCTCTCTGTTGTTTTTCTCTGGTCTCTCTCTCTCTGTTCCCTACAGAGGCCTGTAGATGGCGCTAGGGAGTGTAATAATTTCAGTCTGAAATGTTCTCTTTCACACAGGTCTTCAGGGTCCTGGCTTAGACCAGGAATCAGGCCCGATTTGGACATAATTGACACCAAGACCAAACCATGTACCAGGTGGTCCCAGGAGGAGCGGGTGGGACAGACCTTGATGCTCTTCCCAAGACGCCACTCCACAGAGCTTCCCGGCCGCTGGTGGGGGCGGGGCTTATCGGGCTCTTCCTGGTGGTCTCCGCTGTTACGGCCTGGTGCTATTACATCGCCTCGCTGAGGAAGGCAGAGCTTCTGAAGACGCAGCTCCTCGACCTCAACAAAGATGGTTACATAATCCGGAACCAAGGAGGTGCCATAGTGTTCCACATGCAGTTCAGGTGAGGAAGATGATGAGGTGCTGAGAGTCCCGGTCTCTGTTTCAGGTCTGCGTCTCTGGTTGTGGGTAGCCCTAGCCCTAACCCCCTGGTCTCTCTGTGTGGTCTCTGGTTGTGTGTAATACTAGCCCTAACCTTATGGTCTCTGCTTCAGATCTGGGACTCTGGATTTGGACTCGTGCTCTAAAGAAGGCCAGATCCTCAGCTGCAGTCGGACCTCGGACCAGAGGAAACTCTTCTTCTTCATCGAGACGGTGCGACCCAAAGACACGGTGCAGTGTTACCGCGTGCGCTGGGAGGAGACCGTCCCCGGCCAGCCGGTGGAGCATGCTATGACGTACGGCCTCGCACACTGGTACGGTGGCGCACTGTCAGCCACGCAGCACTGGCCCATCCACGTGCTCGGACAGCAGGCGCCCAAGCCCTTTGTGACCAGTGACATCTACGCTCACCGCAACAACTTTGGAGGTGAGAGCTTCCAGACGGGGTTGGGTCCCCTCAGCGTCTGGGAGACAGAGGGAGACACACATCCATGATTTAGGGTACAGAGAGGGGTCCTCCACAGGGTCTAGGGCACAGAAAGAGAGACCCCCACAGGGTCTTTCCTTTGGGTTCTTACACATGTTTACACTGTTCTGAAACGTCTCTTTTCGTAGGAATCCTGGAGAGTTACTGGTTGTCCTCAAATGCCACAGCAATCAAAATAAACGGCTCTGTCCCATTGCACTTGGGCTGGAATGACACAGAGAAGACCATGTCGTTTCAGGCGCGCTACAGCGACTCCCCTTTCAGGCCGAATGGGGAAGCGATCGCAGAGCTGAGCTACAGAGTGTGTGTGGGGCTTGATGTGACCTCCATCCACAAGTATATGGTGCGGCGCTACTTCAACAAACCTTATAAGGTAACAGGATGTGCTCAACAGGCCTTGTACGGTAACCAGGTGTTTAAATTGGAGCCAGCATCTGTGAGTCTTGGTTGCCTTCCTCTTGTGCAGGGGTCACATTCCTGTGGTCTAGGGGCCGCATGAGGTCAAGTCGCATTAAGAAAGGTCATGTTTATCACGTGTTATACGAACTTTGGAGCAAATGGATTTGTGATCATCTACACATACATCTATCCTTATATGTCTAACCCTGGATATCTAACCCTATCAGTTATCTATGAGCAGGTGGAGAATAACACTGCTCATTTTCAGATTTTGGATACAAATATTTTTTTAAGTTTCAACAAAAGTAATTCATTCACTTCCTCTGTTTCTTTTGTTTAAAAATCATCTGTGACTCTTATAATCAGGGGTGCAGGCAAATGGTACGCGTGTGCGACAAAAATGCGTAATATCACTTGAGTTAGTAAGCACCTTTGCGTACTTTACATAGATTTCACCGATCTTATTAAGTTCACATGCATAATGTCCCCGATTTAGTCCTGGTTTAGCTCTTGTTTTGGTTGTTTTCGAGTGTTTTGGTCTTCTTGTTTGACCGGCTTTACTGCTCTCCGATTGGTTGCAGCACGTGCGTGGAGTGAGGAAGTTAGCTGATGTTTATATCCTGTGTTTACAGCATGTGTCTTGGCGCCGGTAGTCTCCACCTCTGCCACGTCACAAAAACCCGTCTGACAAGCGTGAATATTCGCACTGATATACGTCACCATTGACTTTGCATTGAAACTTGACGCAACGCATGACCCGGTGTGAATGCCCAATATTACAGTGCAGCTTGTGAGAGGGGATTCTCATGTCTCAACATAAAAAAAAAACAAATACAGATCTGTCACATGCTCATCTCTAATGGTGCTTTCAGACCGGATCATGTGTTGCGTCGGCTTTCAATGCAAAGTCTATGGTGACGAGCGTTCGAGCGTCACATCGCACGGACCTCTTGGCACGCACGCACGGACTGTTCAGTAGAGACGCACGGACTTGGCGGGAAAGTAAAAGGGGAGGAGCAGGAGCGAAAAATCAACGCCCACAGGAGATGAATTCTGCTCATCCTTTACTTGGGACGTTCGTGCAGCGGCCGCAAAGTGGTCATGGGGACATTAGCGGACTGAGCGAGCAGACTGAAAATACTCGTAAACAGCCAAAACAGGACCCACACCAGACTTCACCAGAACTCAAACCAAAGGGTTGACAATGGGGGACTCCGTGCTTGTGAAAATATGGGTTGTCATGCTCCTGTGACCTTATGCAACTGCTTCAAGTGTGTTAGCCAATGCGGAAATACCGTTTAATAATATGAAAAAACGTATGGCGCACCTCCGTGAACACATATTACTGTTATATAAAGCCCGTGGAAGGTCTCTGAGCAAAGACACGCTGCAAAGCTGCATATTGGAGACGATCTGGACACAAGAAGCCGCTTGCTAAACTATACTCTGTTAGCATCAGAGCCGGTCGGCTACTTCCGGCACTTCCGGTGCGCGTCAGGACATCTCGGTGTGAAGACCTCTGCGTCTGAAAACTAGAGAATGTGCGTCTGCGTGTTTATTTAATGCTAGAACAGAGTGAGTTCAGATCTGAGGCTCACTGTCATTACATTAATGTCCACTACGGGGCAGGGTCTTGTGTGTTTTGTCTTGAGGTAATCAAAGGAACCCCATTTGTCCTTTAGGTCCCGGCCAAAGTGATGTTTGAGCACCCCCTGTGGTCAACCTGGGCACTTCACAAGACCCAGGTGACTCAGGAGAAGCTGCTAGCATACGCGGCTAACATCAAGCAGCACAACTTTAACTGCAGCCACCTGGAGCTGGACGACCGCTACACGCGGCGCTATGGCGAGTTCGACTTTGACCCGGAGAAGTTCCCCAATGCCAGCGCCATGTTCGGGCAACTGAGGGCGCAGGGGTTCTTAGTGTCTCTGTGGACTCACCCCTTTGTGAACTATGACTCGGGCAACTTCCACATGTGCGTGCAGCGCGGCCTGCTGGTGCGCGAGCCCATGGGGAATCTGCCGGCGCTCGTGCAGTGGTGGAATGGCATCGGAGGCATCCTGGACTTCACCAACACTGAGGCACGGGACTGGTTCTCCCAGCAGCTGAGGTCTCTGAGGACCCGCTACGGGGTCACCTCCTTCAAGGTGAGGCTCCTCCTTCTGTCCCCTCCTTCAAGGTGAGGCTCCTCCTTCTCCTACAGGGAGGGACTGGTTCTCCCAAAAGCTGGGGGTGCTACAGTGTCTCCTCAGGTTTGTGTGTCATCTCCATTTCAAACTGATCCTCGATGACATCCCTCACTGCTGGTTCTTTTAGCCGAAAGTAAACACTTTATTAAACTGGTTTGGTCTTCCTCAGTTTGACGCTGGAGAGACCAGTTATCTCCCATGGAAGTTCAGTACGAAGACTCCCATCCACGACCCGAGTGTGTTCACCCGGCGCTACACAGAGATGGCAATCCCTTACAACGACCGAGCCGAGCTGAGGAGCGGGTACCAGTCCCAGAACGTATCCTGCTTCTTCCGCCCCATTGACCGTGACTCTGTGTGGGGCTACGAGCTCGGGCTGAAGTCGCTGATCCCCACAGCTCTGACCATCAGCATTCTGGGATATCAGTTCATCCTGCCAGACATGATCGGGGGTAATGCTTACTTCAACCGCACGGACGGAGGTAAGACCCGTGTGTACTGACCAGCCACAGTGACTGTCCTAAGATGCACTGACCAGCCTCGACCTGTGACTGTCCTCTGTTTTAGCCACACAGAAGGAGCGCGTGTTGCCAGATCGGGAGCTGTATATCCGCTGGTTGGAGCTGTCTGCTTTCATGCCAGCTATGCAGTTCTCGGTGCCCCCGTGGGAGTACGACTCTGAAGTCGTGGAGATTGCCCGAAAATACACCGCATTGCACCAGAGTCTGGTCGCTCCCAGAGTCCTGGAGTTGGCATCAGAGGTGAGTGTTCAGGGGTAAGGCAGGGTGGGAGATCAGGGTTCAGGTTAGAGGTGGTCAGAGGCGATGAACTTTTACCTAATGTAAACCCGCTGGGTGTAGTTCCTCACTCCTACTAATAGATGGAGTGACCTTGACCTTTACATATGGCTCCACAGGTGCTGGACACTGGAGACCCCATCGTGCGACCGCTTTGGTGGATTGCCACAGGAGACGAGACAGCCTATAAGATTGACTCACAGTTCCTAATTGGAGACGACCTGATGGTGGCGCCGGTCTTAGAACCAGGAAAACAGGAGCGGGACATCTACCTCCCGGCGGGACGCTGGAGGAGCTACAAGGGGGAAAGGTTCGACATTAAAGAACCTCTGCACCTTACGGACTACCCCATAGATTTGGACGAGATTGCCTACTTCCTCTGGGGGTAACCCCACTCCAACCCTCACCTACAGACCACATGGACCTTGATGTGCGCCTACTTCCTCTGGAGTCAAACCCAAGACTTCTGCTGTGAAGCACAAGTGCTAACCACTCTGCCACGTGCCCCTGACTCAAGGAATGTTACGTTAGTATATCCAGCCAAATACAAGATCTTAACCAGACCGGGTCCTAACCCTGATCTTCCCTGTGCGTTTGTGCTTCGTCTTATTGTCTGTTCCGCTCCTCGTCATCTTCACGTCCCTCTATTTTGTCGACCCTGCCCCTTCTTTCTGAACACCGTTAGTTGAACCTGGGTCCCCATGCTTTATCTGCAGTCATATCAATAAGCCATAAGTCTGTCAGTGTTTCCAAAGGGAAGTGTTTGTACTGTTTTGATGGGATCCTGCCATTTGAGCTCATGTGCTACGTGAATAAAGTGGATATAGGCTGCTCTGATCCACTGACAAATGTAAACTGTCAAACTTTCGCCAAAATGAATGTCTGGAGCTGTAAACTGCTGTCTTTATTTTTCACAAAAAATAAAATCATGACATCCCAGGAAAGGTCAAATACAACATGATACGTCCCTGAAGTTACTTACGTTCCCCCCCGTTTTTTTTTTATGGGCTTGTAAGGAAATTTTTTTGGGGGGGGGGGGGATGCAGGAGGGTCAGGCATGATCCAGGACACTTAACATTCATCCCACTCCTTATGGAGCTCACCCTCTGACAACTTAGTTTATTGATAAAATGTGCGATAGAAACAATGACGTCAGCAGATAAAGAAGATGTCCTCCAGGATACGACTCTCCTCCAGGTCTGCGGGGGCGGGGCCTGAGCGGGAGGCGGGGCCTGAGCGGGAGGCGGGGCCTGCTCTCTGCTTGTTGGTGGAGCTTCTCACAGGACTGAAGACATCCAGGAGCTCAGTCAAAGACAGGTCCAGGTCCGGTCTGAAACACAAGGTGAGGTTCAGTCTGGTCCACACAAGTTCAGTCCAGTTTCTTACTGACCGGGCCTGTGGAGTGGTGCGAAGATCTGGAGATGTGCCAATGTCACGTCTGCTGAGCTCTGAAACAACAGAACTGAATCAGACCCTGCTCCTCCTGCTCCTCTAGGAATGGGCGTTATATCGATTGTATTCTTTCAACTCTATATGAATTTTGACATTCACTTTCGCCGCTTTGCTCTTCTGCCTCCTCCTTGCTGCAGTGGCACTGCTCAGCTCGGAGCAGAGACTAAACATGCTCGAAGGCAGAAAAATTGTGTAAGAAACGCGGCGTGTTGAATATGACAAGAGCAGGTGGTGTAGCGTCTGGCCTTTCATACAGCGGTGGACATGGCACCTTTTTTCATCATTGCACAATGTGGTTTTATACCAAAGACTAAACTTCATGTGCAGCTAAACACAGATTAAAGAGTTGAGGCATTACTTTGCGATACAGAAACTCCCGCGACTGCGCTACGGAGAGAGAGAACCGCGTATCACTAAATTGGAAGTTACTATACCATTAATGTAATCAAGGATTTGTTTAATCTTAAATGTTGCAAAAGCACTTTGATCTTTATATGCACTGCCTTGAGTTGTTTTATTTTTGAATGAAGAGAAGGCAATGTTTAATTTATTCATTTATTTTACAGTTAAATTATCATGTTGCTCTAAACAGCAATAAAAAAAAAAGACATGGCAAATTTGTATTTGCAGTAGTTTATCATCCTGTAAAAATATTGAGAAATATTGTATATCAGATATATCATATCGAAATATACCCTGCTGCACCTCCTACCTCTACTGCTGCTGGGCTCTGAGAGGTGACCATCAGTTGACTTTCTACAGGAAACAAATAAAATGATTAAATATCTGCACTAAAGCCATATGACAGAACCTCCTTCTAGAGGAGGTGTGAGTATGTGGGTTCCACACAGTGTTTAAGATTAAAAATATCATGTTACCTGGCTGGCTGTGGACTCTGCATCTTCTCACTACTCCTTGTCTGCTCCTCGGTCAGCCTCCTCCGCTCCTGCTCGGTCAGCCCCCGGCACTCCTCCTGCTGCTCGGTCAGCCCCCGGCACTCCTCCTGCTGCTCGGTCAGCCCCCGGCACTCCTCCTGCTGCTCGGTCAGCCCCCGGCACTCCTCCTGCTGCTCGGTCAGCCTCCTACGCTCCTCCTGCTGCTCGGTCAGCCTCTTACGCTCCTCATGCTCTGTCAGCCTCCTCTGCAGACGGTCCCTCTCCTCCTCCAGTATGAGTTTTTGCTTCAGGAGTTGGCGTTTTTTCTGGTGCCAATGCAGAGACTCCAGATGTGGACTAAACACATGTCACAGTCATTCTCCCCCTCTGCTCTCAGAATATATTTTCTGTTTACCTCTTTGTGGACTCTTCCCCACAGAGGCTCTGATCACTGGAGCTCAGAGAGGAGGTGGGCGGGGCAGGAGAGTGGGAGGCGGTCCTCTGGTAATGCTCCTGCTGTTCATGAGGAGGCGCTAGACTGAGGTAGGAGCCGTTACACACTGGGGCTGCGAGCTCCTTTCCTGTGACCTGAAGAAGAAACAGATCCCATGTTTCCTCATCTTCAGCACGAGTTACAGAGAGAGGGAGAGAGGTGTCCTCACCTGAGTAGAGTTGTGTGAAGGGTAGTGTGACTGCTCCAGTTTGTGTGTCTGCTCTAACAGGTAGAGCTGGTGCAGCTTCAGCAGCTCCTGACACTCTCTGTACTGCTGCTGTAGACCTGGCCCAGGTTAAGGAAAAAGTGCCCTCTGCTGTCACAACACTGCAACTACAACTAGAGACAAACAGCAAGTACGCATTTAGTGGTCACTAAAAAACATTATGAAGGAGAAGGAGCGAACAAGAGATGTGCGGTCTCGCTCTGGTCAATAGCTCCGTCCCTTTCAGTTCAGTAACTATGAAAAGATACTCTCTCTTTCCATAGCAATCATCTGGTTCTGTTGCTCCAGAGATTCAATCTTGTGTTCAAATTGTAACTGTTCATCTCTGAAGCGCTGAGTCGACACCTCCTGCTCCTCACTCAACCTGCAACAAACACACTCATCCAGTCAAACAACTCCCATTACACACTCCCCACTCACCCTGTAAAACTCTCTCTGACGTCTCACCTGGCCAGCTCCTGGATCAGGTTGGAGATCCGCTTCTTATCTTCAGGACACAGGTCTTTGAGGCAGGTGTGGCTCTGGTGAGAGGCCATCTGAAGCAAGAGTAGCAGTTATAACCTCCACATCCTTCTTTGTGGAGTCCAGGTCCTAGAGTCCAGGTCCTAGAGTCCAGGTCCTAGAGTCCAGGTCCTAGAGTCCAGGTCCTAGAGTCCAGGTCCTAGAGTCCAGGTCCTAGAGTCCAGGTCCTAGAGTCCAGGTCCTAGAGTCCAGGTCCTAGAGTCCAGGTCCTAGAGTCCAGGTCCTAGAGTCCAGGTCCTAGAGTCCAGGTCCTAGAGTCCAAGTCCTAGAGTCCTGTGAAAAAGGGATCGTGCAGACTTCCTCTGGCCCGCTGCCTCCTCCTAGACTGTTCTGTCTGGGACCCAGTCTGGTTTCAGGTTCAGTTCCCGGTCTGGTTTTGGGTCCAGGGATAGTTCCCCTCTTCATGAAGAGAGCCCTTCTCTTTGAACCTGTTATAGGAAAACATCAGTGACACAGACACACACAAAACACATTTGTGTGTGTCTGTGTTTTTAAAAGAGGATGACAGTGGATCAGATGAAACAGTCCTGTATCAGCAGGAGTGACTGAAATGGCCCCTGAAATAAAATCACACCATACTGTCGAATCATACAGACTTCGGACAGGGCTTTTTCAGTCGGTACATAGTTATTTTCAGGCAGAATGCAATCAGGACATGCATTATAAAGACAATCTTACGTCACACAACCATAGACTGTATATATAAACAACGTGTCACATCGAAAGACATAAGGCATAACAACAGGTGCAAAGCTGAAGTTAGCATGACCCGATCAGACATGTTCTGTCTGCGTTTGACTGGTCTGCGTTACTGGGTGAAGGCCATTTCATACTCTTTTGTTCATACTACTTACCAGGAACATAGGAGAGGGGCTTTTCTTCTTCTGACACTGAGAACGACAAATACAGCCACAGTTACACACGTCTCTGATGTCAACAACAGATACTGCCTTTGGAATCTCACCAACAACCACCCACAGTATTTATCCGTCACACACGCATTCTATAGCCGTGTGAGCCGTTTCAACCATGGGTTTAATACTAAATAATAGTTAAAAAACAGTTAAATTCACCGCTTTTCACCCAGAAAACTCCAACTCGCGCGGCTCTCTGCACCGCCGCCATTTTGAATTCAGCGCCACCAGAAGCGGCACGCCCTCGCGTCTCCGTGGTAACGGAGGCTATGCATGGATCGGGGCTGAAATCTGTAGTTGGTACAACACTAATCCTAACGTTTCCCTTAACCCAACCCCAGGGTGACTCAAAACTTGATAGATCCATGCTTCAAACACACATTTAACTATAAACATATGAAAACAAAAAATCCCCTCTGCCCCGGATGTTAGTGATTCCCATCTAAAACACACTCCTCTTCCTCCTTTTGCTTTGAAAGTATCCTGCTGTCACAAACGTAGTCCCACATCTGCACACATACGAACACCCATATTCATATGAGGAATATTTAATTACACAAAGGTAAAAGCAAAGCAGCCACCCAGCTAGGACGACGGAGAAGAGTCCAGTTGCAAACTTGACCATATTAGGGATTCCTGCTCTGGGCACTTCCGCATTCAGTGTAGAATATCTTACTAGAGGAGGATGCGATGGTAACGCAACACTATCATAACAACACGACACTATTAATACACCGCATCACTATTATAACAACACTTGTAGTATCACACGCAGCACCACACGCACACGTAGGACAACACGCACGCCTGTTTGCAGATGGATGAGGTGAAGGACGACGCCTCGTTCAAAGGGGTCGCGGACCGCCTGACTCTGGGAGTCCTGCGGATCCTTGGTGCGCGGTACATAGCATGGGGTTGAAACACTTGCGGCGCGTACCAGACACTGACATTGTTGTGTTGTGTACAGAAAACCTTCCGGGTGTGACCGACGTACGCTTCCCAGAGAGAGAGCCAGCGGAGAAGAGGAGTCTGCTGAACTGGGAACAGGTGCGCGTACATGTTATTTATATATAGCTAATGATATTGATAGATGGTATATTTATACATCAGAGTAGTGCCCAGGTCTTCTGATAGCATTTCTACCCTGGCAGTGTAGCTCATCCTGGCCATCCTTTATTCAATTATATTGGTATATAAGTGAACCTCCTCAAGATCATGTTTCAGACAGAACTCACATTTGTTCTGTTCCAGAAAAACGCCTGTATTTTACCGGAGGATCTGCGGGACTTCTATCTGACAACCGACGGCTTCAGGCTCCATTGGAATGTCAAGCTAGACAGTGGGTTTACAGTCTATGTGCAATGCACTGCACTATGTGCATTAGCCTGCACTGTCACATGTACAATACACCTCACTATTATTTGTGCAATACACCACACTGTCATATGTCATGTCTGTGATAGAGGGCAGTGTGTCATGTCTCTGTCCTCCACCAGATGGCAGTGCTCCGCTCGGCCGTATGGACATCCACAGTGTTTCTCGTCTTTCTCCACTTCTGCCTCCAACGTCTGTGTTTAGTTTGCCCAACGCTGCGTCTGTTAGCGACCTGGACTGGGACCAAGAACCAGGTCAGTACCAGGACTGAACTAGGACTGGAACCAAGAACCAGGTCTTTATCGGGACCAAGAACCAAGTCTGTGCCAGGTTTGAACCAGGACAGTGAGACCATCTCTCAGATCACCCTACTCTGTTGCTCTTTGCTGTAGTCCCCCAAGGCTTGATATTGGACCATATCAAGCCTTGGGGACCAAAGACCATTATAATTCAGTCGGTTTGTACCTGTGTCCTCTCACTGTTTCTACAGGCTCGTCGCTGACTCCTCCCCCTGAGGCCCATCCGACTGTGGCTCCACCCCCTCCACACTTTGACGCTAGGAGTCGTATCTTTGAGCTGGACTCTTGCGGCGGCAACGGGAAAGTGTGTTTGGTTTACAACAACTGCACGCCAGGTAACGCTAACCCCAAACCGACCAGGGTCTTGCCTGGTAACGGTGAAACCAATCTATATAGTGTATGGTTTGCATATAATTGTGTATCCCTCAGGTGTGGTGGCCCAGCTCGGGCAAGTCTGGTTCCTTGATCGTTCTCTGCGCTGGTTTTTCTTCACGTCTTCGTTTACGTCGTTCTTCCGACTCATGATCACTCACCTTGGGCTGCCTGAATGGCACTACAACTGCACTTCGTACGGCCCCTCCCCTTTGGCACAGGTGAGACCCTCCTCCTAAGCTCCTCCCCTCTGGCACGGGTGAGTCCCTTCACCCTGTGTCTAATGAAGGAGTTGTGTCTAAAGCTGTATTTCCCTGTGTCTCCAGCAGTGGGCGGCGCTGTACCCCCCACTGACCTTCAGTGACCCTCAAGATACTCCCACCACAGAGCTGAACTGTCTTGACCCGAGCAGAGCCTTCAAGACCAGGACCAAGACCCCCCCCAAAAAGAGAACGGGGACACAGGGAGGAGGGGCTAGGGGAGGAGGGAGAGGGAGGGGGAGGAGCTAGATGAGAGGGAGGAGGGAGAGAAGTTAGGAGGACTTTCAAATTGTGCAATATGTAACTACTCTCAGCCCTTATCATTTATCTGCTGCTTCATGTTCTGCACTTCCTTCTCCAGCAGAACGCGCCAGACTCAGGGCTCTCTTTAGAGGGCGCCAGACCTGCATCACTTATGTTTGCTCTTTGTTTTTGTATCTTATACATACATAATATAAAACACACACCATTTCGCCCTCCATGGGTGGTTATCCCTCTCTAAGCTTGGGACCTGGGAGCTTGAGGGTTCTGCGCTGTAGCTTTGCTGTTCCTCACACTGCACATTTCCAGACTGAGTTCTCAGAAGTTGATATATTTATATATCTGTATGTATATATTTTAGGGCCGGGACTTTAACACGTTAATTACGATTAATTAACGCCACAAAAATTAGCACGTAAAAAAAAATGGACGCATTTCGCATGTGTTTTTATTATTGTACTGGAGCACCAACTCGAGCTTCCTGACTTTTTGTGTTCAAATGTAGATTATCACAAGCATAGACCAACTTTAGCGGTGTCTAAATCTGAGACGCCGCTGTGTATGGAGCGATAGACTCTGTGTGTGAGGAGGAGCAGCAACACAGGTGTGTGAGCTGCTATTGCTGATGCTTTAGATCGAATGCACACATCAAAAACGTATTATAAGCTTTAGTGCTTTTGGGCTTAAAAAGCGTATGTTGATGACAGAAAGTGTGGAGGCGATGACAGATACGTTATTTGATGGAAAGGAAGTCCTTCTGATTTCCATATCATCCTATATGAACATGTGTTGCTTATGTATTCAGTCATTATTCAATGGTAAACTAAAAATCCATGTGAAAAATTACTTCTCACTGTTCTCAGGTCAAATATTTATATGCGATTAAAATTATATAAATTGTGATTAATTAATCACAAAGCCTCTAATTTATTTTTTAAATCAAGTCCCAGCCTTAATATATTTATTGTTTACTGCTGTTAATATAATACGTTTTATTTATATGGCCTTTCCGGGCCCTGAAGGTTGCCTTACAAAAGGTAAAACGTTAAAATCAAAAACTGTTGATGCTTCTGTTTAAACTCTGCATGTATCTGAATAAACCTTGACCTACAGTTAACCTCTGACCTATATGTGGCATACCGAGGGTGTGGTTGATTTTAAAAACCCAAGGGTCATAATCAAATTATTATATAAACACAGGTGAGTATCTGATTTAAATTGGACAGACGTGAATAAAAGTTTAAAATGTTTATTGATTAAAGGTAAGATCCTGCTAAAGAAAAGGAATTAGACAAACTAAATTTAGGAAAGGTTAATTTATTTATCAAATTAAACTGAAAGTAATAACATTTATTTAAAGGAATTAAAATAGTAAAGCTGAATCTGGAGCCACCGGTGGTGAGCATGCTACTCTGGGGGGTGCCCAGGGGTGCTACACAGAATACTCACCTCAGTGGACACAGCAAATGAAATGTGCTAACTCGTGAACCAAGTGCACTAAATCACATGCAAAGGTGGGGGACGGGGGGACCACACCAATGTCCCAGCCACCAGGGGGCGCCTAGCCTCGCTAAAAGAAAAGGTAAAAATGGTTAAAAACAAATATGACCGGACCCAGTTGGTTTTGACAACATCTTGCTGCAAAAATATATGTAAATCAAAAGATGTAAATAAACTAAACTAATCAAAGAAACTACAGATTAACAAAGAAAATAAAAAGCAAAAGTATAAGCAAAGAACAAACTAAACCAGTGAAGAAGATGACAAAGTCTGGGTTTGTGTCTTTAATTCAGACAGAAGACATGTTTTATTGTCGTTTGTAGAGACAGCACAAACATAAGCAAAAGATGTTACAGACTGCAAGTGATAATAAACAGCAGAGGAATGGAGTCCTCCAATCAGCGTTTGCCACAGTGCCTGTCGCTTCAACCTTGAGATAACCAAAGACTGCCAAGCCTTTTGGACTGCCAAGGAAAGAATACTTTAGTTTGATAAATGACTGGATCTCTCCAAATCATCTAAAAAAAAAATCATCTCAGTTTTAATCAAAAATACTACATTTTCATGTCATTTTTGCTTTGTTTGAGTCCGTGTGAACCAGAAAACGATTAATCGATTACTAAAATAGTTGTCGACTATTTCAATAATTGATTAGTCGTCGATTAATCGATTAGTTGTTTCAGTCCTACTTAATATATACAGTCTATGGTTGAGACACGGCACATGCTGCACAGAGGAGTTTTACCATGGATCTATTATAATATATAGTTTTACAAACGCGGTCTGAAGAGAAGAGACGCATGGAGGAATAACGTCTGTGGGAGCTTAAAACTACGATGATCAAAGAAGCAGGAGACAGGCCTTGACAATAAACTTTGTCAGTCACTTGCCCTTCGTGCAAATAGGCAAGGCAAGGCAAGGCAAGTTTATTTATATAGCACAATTCATACACAAGGCAATTCAAAGTGCTGAACAAAACAAGAAAGCATTAAAATCATAAATTATCACAGAACATTAAAAAGAAAGATAAAAATATAAAATCCCTCAGTTGTATGCACAGTTAAACAGAACTGTCTTTAACCTGGTTTTAAACATTGTCAGAGAGGAGGCCTGTCTCACATCTTCAGGAAGACTGTTCCAGATTTTAGCAAGTACCATTTATGTAGGAAAGCCAAGCCAAGAAGTGTGCCCCTAGTGTTAGGTTTTGTTTTTGCATGTTAGTGTCACTTATTATTAGAGCAACCACGGCAGCTAGATGCGCTGCAGAGACTTTTTCCGAGCATTAAGGACTCATTGACGTTGTTCCCTGTGTGTCAGTGAGCGTAAATGACCATAAAGTACTGTTCTGTATGTGCGCTGCAACATGTACATTTCCCCACTCCAGGACATATTCTACGTATAAGGTTCTCTTATACTCTCTTATAAATCCGGAAATGTCAACATTACATTAAAAGTAAATATAGTACCTGCTGTATTCATGCACCTTTTTGTTTCCTTTTTTTCCTATTAACTTGTGACCTTTATGGGCGGCACAGTGGCTGAGTGGATCGCACTCTCGCTTCTCAGCAAGAAGGTGCTGGGTTAGAATCCCGGTCAGACAGGGTCTTTCTGAGTGGAGTTTGCATGTTCTCCCCGTGTCTGCGTAGGTTTCCTCCGGGTGCTCCGGTTTCCCCTACCACTAAAAATATACACAATAGGTATGAATGTAAACGAGAGAGTGAATGGGTGGTGTTGATTGGGGGCTTATGCGCCAGTGTGTGGAATGATTGGAGCAATATCTGAACTGAACATTGTAAAGCGCTTTGGGTGACCTTGGTCTGAAAAATGCGCTATATGAATAACCATTACTTACTTACTTACTAGCAATGTAGCGAATGTGTGTATCTTTATTTTGTTGGGATACAGCTATATGCCCTCCACGGGCGGTTATCCTAAGCTCGGGTCCTGGGAGCTTGAGGGTTCTGCGCTGTAGCTTTGCTGTTCCTCGCACTGCACATTTCTGGACCAAGTTCCCAGAGATTGATATATTTATATATCTGTATGTATATATTTATTGTTTACTGCTGTTAATATAATAATAATAATAATACATTTTATTTATATGGACTTTCTGGGCACTGATGGTTGCCTTACAAAAGGTACAAAGGTAATGTGGATGCTTCTGTAATAAACCTTGACTTACAGTTGACCTCTGACCTATAGTTGATCCGTGGGGACAAATCAACATTTGTTACAAAACGAAATTACACAATTTTCTCTAACTTTATATTGTACTAAATATTAGTACAACTGTTCTAACATCAACCCGGCACCATAAACAGAGGGTCAGGGTTAGGGGGTTAGAACTGAATAAAGACTTGGAATTAGTGCATTAATCGATGAATATGAAAACACCAGGTCCTCGCTGTAACACCAAGAACATGATAGAACTGAGAGTACAATACGACAGTTTCCTATTTAAGGTCACAAGATTGGCTTGTGGTGATTATTTCAGAAAACTCTCTGACCCTGTGATTACTCATGGACCAGTGTAAACACATTGTTGCAGTGGTCTCCTTCATATGATGCAGTCCCTCGTCCCACCAGTTGAGTGCACTTATTCACACTATGCAGTCGCTCTGTTTCTCCAGTGGCTCTGTGTGTCCCTGTCCCTCTTGCAGTTCTCCCGTCCCACCAGAAGAGGGTGCAGAAGGGTGGTGCATCTGGACCATGAGCTTGTAGAGTCCAGTCCCCAGAACTCCACCGACACACGGGGCGACAAGTGGCACCCACCACCAGCCCTGACCAGCTCTGTGGAGAGGAGACGCCTGTTCACACACACACAGACCTGGAGGTGTTTTTAGCTTCTGTTATAATAAGGGTCCAAGGGTCCCTTTACACAGATGAGAAGTGTGAGATATGACAACAGAGACATTATGTACCTGAAGACCTCAAGGCCCCACCCTGCCAGAGCAGTGAAGACCCGGGGCCCCAGGTCACGGCTCGGATTGATGGCGTAGCCACTGTTGGAGCCAGCACACATTCCGATGAGCAGAACAAGCAAACCCACAGCCACAGGCTCGCCCCCTGGAGGACATGGTGTGTTCCTGCGGTCAGAGAGAGCTGATAGCCCGAGGAGCAGGAGGGAGGTGCCGAAGACCTGAGGAAAAGTACTGTTACTGAGAATACTACAACTAATATGAATAGTACAAGTACTATCAATGCTACAACTACTGTGAGTACACTGGTCCCTCCCTACAACGTGAACGTGCTTCACTACCTCCTTATGCTCCTGCCCCACTTCTCTCTCTCCTCTCTCCTCCTCCTCCTCCTCCTCCTCCTCCTCCTCCTCTCTCGTCTTCCTGCCTCACCTGGTCGATGAATCCCCCAGTCAGAGACAGGTAGGGGGCAGGGTAGGTTGAGAAGATTCCGGCTGTGGCCTCAGGCCCGTACACCGTCAGGTTTCCCCCGCAGTAATTGTGGATGGCCTCTAGGGCACGACAAGGACAGAGTTAGAGAGAGGCGCTCCTGTGTCCCTGCAGACTCTGCTCAGACCACAGGCCAAGTTTGCAATCAGCAGTGTTGGGCACGTTACTTTGAAAAAGTAATTAGTTATAGTTACTAGTTACTTCTCCCAAAAAGTAACTGAGTTACTAACGGAGTTACTCCACTATAAAAGTAACTAGTTACCAGTAAAAGTAACTATTGCGTTACTTTTTCGTTTTGTTCTGGAACATAATGTGCACTCGACGTGCGCATTATGTGCCAATATTTCCATCTAGAAAAGTCTGTTTTGCTGCTGAAGTCCTGTTCACTCTTCATCTCTCTCTGTGCTGTAAGCACTAAACACCAACACCCGCCACTGTGAATGTGGAAACACCGGTGACGAGCGGTGAGGCTGGTGAAGCACTGACTTCAGTCCAATCAGATGAACATATACATCATATAAATCAAGTGGACAATTTGTTTGGCTACAGTAAAATATGTTTTATGCCCGCATTGTTTGTTCATACAAAACGCAAAACTATGAGTTATTGGTCTTACCTTATAGCTATACCTTATAAATGACCTGCACAGTCCACTTCGGTTCAGACCAGTTCCTTGTTTAAATCCAGTTAATGGTTTGAGCGTAGATATGTAATCCTCCATTTGGAAATGAGTCCAATGAGTTTTAAAAAGTAAAACAAAACGCATGTGTCCTCCATAAACTCCTGTGTTTTGCTAACGGCAGCCGAGTGCATCCAATTTCTAAAATCAACCGTCTTACACTTCACCTCTCTTTCTTATCATTCCTATAGTCATTGAAAAATTACCCTATGTGCATTTTAAATTATGTAAAAATGTGTTATATGTATGTTAGCCAAACCTGTTGCTGTCCTTAGCAGATAAACCAGGAAGAGCAAGGAGCTTATCGATGGAATTGTATGAAGCCTTCTGCGCTCACATGCGCTCCTCTGAGGCTGGCCTCACGGTGATACAAGCCGTGGTAGAGTGTGATTAAGACCCATATTTGTTTCAAAAACACAATTTATGACCATCCTCTCAACTGTAGACATGTAGATTGTAAAGGAAATATGTTTTACATCAGCCAATAATTGCTGAGAGGTTTTCTCATCCTCCCTTCTCTCATGACAACACGTTCATTGTGCGTCTTGAGTAACGCGCAGTAACGGGATGTCGGAAATGATAACGGCGTTATAGTTACTGTCAAAGTAATTAGTTAGATTACTCGTTACTGAAAAAAGTAACGGCGTTAGTAACGCCGTTACTAGTAACGCCGTTATTCCCATCACTGGCAATCAGTGGAACTTTTTGTTTAGGAGCCAGGGGAAGAGTGTGACATTTTGGATCAGATGAACACTAACCGTAGTAAACAGCGTAGACGGTTACCGCGGCGAGGAAAGAGCCAATGAGCTGAGAGCCAATGTAAAGTGGGAGGAGCCTCCAGCTCAGAGTCCCAAAGACACAGAAAGTGAAGGAGACGGCAGCATTCATGTGGGCCCCTGTAGAGAACAGGGTATGAGTACTGCTGCTAATACAGCTACTGCTGGTACTGGTACTGCTACTGCTACTCCTGCTACTGCTTCTGGTACTCACCGGACACCCCTCCCCCCACATGGATTCCCAGAGCGACTGCGAGTCCAAAGCTCAGGTTGATGCTGATGAATTGCCCGAAGGCTCCTTTTCCTGTGACAACCTGAGCCACCGAGGCCAGTCCACAAGTCTGAAAGAGAACCAAGTCTAAACCAGGTCTGAGCCAGGTCTAAACCGGGTCTAGATCAGGTTGAAACCAGGCTTAAACTCGGACTAGAGACCAGTCTTCAATGTTTGTATTTGGACTCCTGTTGATAAGTGACTGGGTCAAAGTTCACAGAAAGAGTTCAAGTGGAAACTCATGATATACGTGCTGTACTTTTATAATTTGTCATTGTACATAAATATGCTCATCCAGAAGGTCTAATCCAGAGGGTCTGGACAAGAACTGCAGCCCCACAGAATCATGGGGGTGGAAACACGAACGTTTGAGGCTGCTTTTCTTCAGAGGGGAACAGGAAGACTGATCCGTGTGAAGAACTGGATGAATAGGGCCATGTGCATTTGTCTCCAGACCTCCCCCTCAGAGATATTCCCTCTCCATGGACGGTTATCCCTCTATCTCTATCTCTATCTCATATATATATATATATATACATACACACTGTACACATTATGAGTATGTGTGAAACATATTGCAGCTATTTTCACACGTGCCACTTCCTAGGCACTAGATCATGTGACCATTGAGCTTTACCCCACTTTCACTTCCTGTTGCTCCCCCTGAAACAACCAATATGAGGCAGGGGCTCGATCACATGACCAGAGCTAAGTACTGATACTACTACTGCAGTACTAATACTACTACTAGTACTACTAATACAGTACTAATACTACTACTACTACTACTGCTGCAGTACTACTAAATGCAGAACAGATATTACTGCTGTTTTGGAAAATGATCCTTTATGCCCAAGTTTGTAGGTGTTTGTTTAGTTCAGGGCCATGCATTGAGCTGCTGAGTCCTGAAATCTTTGTCCTGAGACCCGAGTCCCAAGTCCTGAGACCTGAGTCCTGAGACCCGGCTCTTGAGACCCAAGTCCTGAGACCCGGCTCTTGAGACCTGAGTCCTGAGACCCGGCTCTTGAGACCTGAGTCCTGAGACCCGGCTCTTGAGACCTGAGTCCTTAGTGTGCATCATTAAACATATTTAATTCCACACACATTATACTTATTATTGAAGCTAGAGTTAGAGATTTTGTTTTATTTTAATTAGTACAGCTATTGTTCACTTAACTTGTGCCGTGTGCTCCTCTTTCCGACTGTTCTATAACTTGTGACTACAGTAGTACTTTATCACCACCGTGTTTGTAGTAGATGAATAGTGTTGTGAAGAGACTTTGAGCGTCCAGAAAAGCAAAGACTGTGCATTAGAGAACAAGCTATAGACCTGGTTCAAACCGTATTCAGACCTGGTTCAGATTGGGTTCCCTTACTCACCATCATCATGTATGTGCACAGAGTCTCTGCAAGTCCCAGTCTCAGGACCTGGTTCTGGATCTGGACTCTGGACCTCAGGGACGTCCTCCGCTCTCCACACTGGACCATGATGAGCTCCTGTCACTGCAGCCCCCTGACCATCACTAGTACTAGCATTAGTAGTAGTAGTAGCAGCAGTAGCAGCAGCAGTAGTAGTAGTAGTAGCAGCAGTAGTAGTAGTAGTAGCAGCAGTAGCAGTAGTAGTAGTAGTGGCAGTAATAGCAGCAGTAGCAGTAGTAGTAGCAGCAGTGGCAGTAGCAGTAGTAGTAGCAGCAGTGGCAGTAGTAGCAGTAGTCGTAGTGGCAGTAGTAGCAGCAGTAGTAGTAGTAGTAGCAGCAGTGGCAGTAGCAGTAGTAGTAGTAGTAGCAGCAGTAGCAGTAGTAGTAGTAGTGGCAGTAATAGCAGCAGTAGCAGTAGTAGTAGCAGCAGTGGCAGTAGCAGTAGTAGTAGCAGCAGTGGCAGTAGTAGCAGTAGTCGTAGTGGCAGTAGTAGCAGCAGTAGTAGTAGTAGCAGCAGTAGTAGTAGTAGCAGCAGTAGCAGTAGTAGCAGTAGTCGTAGTGGCAGTGGTGGTCGTCTCTGATCTGATCTCTGTGTGAATGTTCTCGGTCACAATTTACGTAGCCCTGCCCCCTATTGTGGTGGTATGTTCCACTGTGACCTGAAGGGGGCGGCAATGTACAGAGTCCAGTATGATAGACTAGTTAATGAGTCATACTGGACACATACTGTCGTTCTGAGGACAGATGACACAGGAGTGAGGACTGAGGACAGACAGACAGCTCAGGACAGAAAGCGGACTGAGGAGAGAGGATAGACTAGAGGACTGATTACTGAGGATAGACAGGACAAACTGACTGAGGACTGGGGAGAGAGGATAAAGGACTGGGGAGAGAGGATAAAGGACTGAGGAGAGAAGATAAAGGACTGAGGAGAGACGACTGAGGACAGACAGAGGACTGAGAACTGACAGGTCTGAGGGGAGACAGACAGAGAACAAAGGACAGAGGACTGAGAACAGACAGAGGATAAATGACTCATGAGGACAGAGGTCAGGCAAACAGTGAGGACAGTGAAATAAAGTTTATGTGGTGGTACTGTAGGCCCCTTGAGCCGCTGGTGGCCATGGATCTATAATAATTACTGGATAAGGTATTACTAGCTTATAGTTATCTCACCCATCGGCACAGGTACTGCAGTGGTGCTGCTGACTAAATTCACGTGGGCTACCCAGAAAAATGTCCCATAGAACTCAATGTAAACTAAAACAGCTCGACCTCAGCTGACAGAGAACCTACAGCTTTCACAAAGATCGGATTTTGTGGGGATTTTAGTGTCCCTTGTCATCCTGATTATTTATTTCTTTTTCAATCCTTCGGTTTTCTTTAAATCCACATTTTACTGCCACAAACTTTGCTCGTTTCCTTCCCGCTCTAACTCCGCTCTACCGCTCTGATTGGTCGGAGCGCGGCCGGGCCCCTCTGTGCATGTGCATGTGAGCCACACACGCGTATTTGGCATGGATCTATTATAACAGGGGTCGGCAACGTTTGTGACATGGAGTGCCAGTTTGAAATTTTCTTCTCAGCTAGTGTGCCATTACCATCGATAAACGCAAAGTTAAAAATGACACAAAATACATAAACATTTCCAATATACTTGGAATTTTATTCTCAACAATAACATTATCTGTATTTCAAAAAAATTTATAAACATTTCAAAGACTGAAAAACAGCTAGTGTAGCATATAACAATAGTAAGTCCAGTAAACTGATTGTATTTGGGCTCAGACCAGAAGCTAGGATTCGGCTCACAGAGGGAGAGGTGTTTAAAATCACAGACAAAAAAAGACAGTGGTATGGTCCAGATGTGAATTAAAAGATAGATATTAGGGGTGCAACGGTTTGAAAAAAAAAATCAGGGTTGGGATCGTACCTCGGTTCAGTTCATTTTTCGGTTCATTTTTCTAAAAAAAAAAAAAAAAGGTTTTGTCTATTTAATAAACACGGCTCTTGTGGACTCGGCACCTGCAGGAGGATCAGTGAGGGGCTGGTGCTCTGTGAACTGGGTGCTGCTCTGACTGCCACCCCCCCGACCCAGAAATGGATTAAGGGGAAGAAAATGGATGGCATATTCCATCCATCCAATTATGTCTTTAACATAATTAATGAAAAAAAACAAAGTGCAACATAAGAAGGCACTTTATGAGAATATTTACTCTCATATATTAAACCACCTTCCTGATTCTCCCGAGGAGGGGGTCCATCCTGGGCCCAGTCCAGCCTCATTCACTGCATTTATTTAATTTTTGGCATTATCAGTTGTAACTGGGATATTAGTACTGGGCCTTTGTCTTCCATTCCTCCGCTGCTGTGTCAATACCTGCGCTGTGTGTGTCAGTACCTGTGCTGTGTCAGTGCCTGCGCTGTGTGTGTCAGTACCTGTGCTGTGTCAGTACCTGCGCTGTGTCAGTGCCTGCGCTGTGTGTGTCAGTACCTGTGCTGTGTCAGTACCTGTGCTGTGTCAGTGCCTGCGCTGTGTCAGTGCCTGCGCTGTGTGCCTGTACCTGTGCTGTGTCAGTGCCTGCGCTGTGTCAGTGCCTGTGCTGTGTGCCTGTACCTGTGCTGTGTCAGTGCCTGCGCTGTGTGCCTGTACCTGTGCTGTGTCAGTGCCTGCGCTGTGTGCCTGTACCTGTGCTGTGTCAGTGCCTGCGCTGTGTGCCTGTACCTGTGCTGTGTCAGTGCCTGCGCTGTGTGCCTGTACCTGTGCTGTGTCAGTACCTGTGCTGTGTGCCTGTACCTGTGCTGTGTCAGTGCCTGCGCTGTGTGCCTGTACCTGTGCTGTGTCAGTGCCTGCGCTGTGTGCCTGTACCTGTGCTGTGTCAGTACCTGTGCTGTGTGTCAGTACCTGTGCTGTGTCAGTGCCTGTGCTGTGTGCCTGTACTGACACACTTGACTTTGGTCGAGGGGGCGTGTCTGCAACGCCCGACTTTTCATCTCGCAGTCTGCAGTGATGAAGTGAGCGGTTATCGTAACATTTCAGGGTTATCTCAACCGCTCATGGATCTATTATAGGTTCTGTTCTGTTCATGGATCTATTATAGGTTCCGCGGGACGTCCAAGCGTCAGTTGTGAGCGCAACTGAGGATACGCGGGAGAGTTGACTTTAGCCCGGTCTGACTGTGCGTAAAGGGTCGGTCTTGTGCCACAGTATTTACACTGTGACAGTTTTGTCGACTATTTAATCATCAGTATAGTTACAGTGAAGCCAAAATGCTCTCATACCGAGGATTTAAATGACACAGGCTTCTCCGTTCCTCCGCTCGCCATGATTACGCTGTGTGTGAACTAAACAACATAGTGGGAGTGCACAACTTTTTTTTCATAAATCAAACCGCGGATCACGTCTGTACCGAACCGAAGACGTTGATCTGAACAGATCACGGATCAGTGATGAACCGTTGCACCTCTAAGATATTTACAAAGGCAGGGGATAGATTACACACACACACACCCCACATTCACAATATTTACAATATTTACAAAAAATTATTGAACAGGTTTTGAGTGAGAGAGTCCGGTTGAGTTGGGTTTGGCAGGTTGGTTTGAAAAGGTGGAGCGTGTACTTTGCAGTAATCCAGTTCAGGTTATTGTCTCAGTTTGTGGTGTTTTACTGTATGAGGGAGACTGCTCGCCTCCTACCGCACTGTAGGGTTGACAATCTCTAGGTTTTCAGCCTGGGGCAGCTCGCCATCAGAAGAAGTCCATATGGACGGACGGATCCAAGGAACCTGGCCTGCATGACAGGACCAATATAAATATCCACAGTTTCATTTAGCAATATATCACTACTACAAAAATACATGTACATGTTCAATAAATATATACTCAATAATCAGAGTGCTCATTCTCACTTCATAATTCACAATTAATCCTCTGCACCATAAATCACAATACAATTCATTCAGTTCAGTGCACATATCAAAAATAAATGTATTAATACTTTTGGTTCAAGAGCACACAAGCAAATGTCATGCTCTGGTAACCATACATGAGCACATAAAAAGGCATAGTCGGCTACACAGGGAATCAACATGAGAACAACAATATTCGAATTCAACATCCCATTAGAGGCTAGCGCTAGCATTCTAGCTCTGTGCAGCACAAAAATGCTTAAACTCACCAGTTCCCTCTTTGATTTCACGCACACAGTGTTGACAGCGTGTCACAGTGATTGTAGGAGGCGTCTGCAGTGAATGGCACACCAGTTACTACTTTGAATGTACAAAAATAAGTTTAAATCGCGCATACACCTGCAGCTGCAGGCTCCTGGCTTCACCCACAGCTACACACACCGGTGAGGGAAGCACGCAGCTTATCCCCGCAGTGGTGTCCGCTGGGTCCTAGTGCCGGCCATCAAAAAGCGCTCAGACAAAGAGGGAGATGCTCTTATTTTTAAAACAGGACAGATACAGTGAGAATAATGCGGAGGTGCCGGCGTGCCAGTGTTTATTCCGCGGCGTGCCACATGTGGCACGCGTGCCCTAGGTTGCCGACCCCTGTATTATAATAACTGGATAGGGTTACATATGCAGTGACCTCACAGACGACCGGGATATACACAGACAGAGATGTAAACTGTATGGCCAATCCAACATGCTGGTCAGAAAGTTTAACATGTGCTCTGTGAATGTTAAAACCTCCCTGTTCCAATCTTTTTGTGCTCCCTTATACACAGCCCAACTATGGCGGAGCTATAAGCAGGCCAGTTTGCAGAAGTTAACTGTTGCCTATAATGACTCGATGAGGATGCTGTTGAAGATCCCCAGACACAGTAGTGCGAGTCAGATGTTTGCTGAGTGCAGGGTGCGCTCCTTTCCTGCTGCCCTACGTCACTGCTACTATCGGTTCATGTGTAGAGTGGTGAGGGTGCCTAATGCACTAATACAGTCACTGGTTTGTCCTTACATTAGCTCAGTCAGGTTCACTTCTTTGCTCTGGAGTCACTGGCGTGCTTCTCTGTATGTGTGACTTGGTCTAAATATGTGAATATGTGATTACTATGTGTGTTTT